GAGAGAAGGAAAAACAAACAACAACAACAACAACATAAATAAAAACAAAACACAGAGCGAGAGAATGCCAAGCTATCCCACGGCTGTTTAGTTGGCAGGAAGGCGATGGACTACTTTCAAAGTCAGAGCTACAGCGAGGAGCAGCTTAGCAGCAGGCTGAACAACAGCCGACTTCTGGAGAACCAAAGCACACTTCAGAGCTCCAATAAGGAGATGCAGCTCTATCTGTGCTCCACTTCTGCATCATACACACCATGAACACAGGCTTTCTGCTACCACAACGTCCAGCTTCTCCCCCGTCCCTCTGGAGGAGCTCTCTGGTGTTCCAGCCTGGAGCTGCACAAAGCCTCACGCCACAGCCCAAACGCTACGGGCCAGCTAGGAAGCACGCTGAATTCATTACATAATGTGGATGTGTTATGTAAAGAATTCATCCTAAACGGGATGATATGGCTGCTAGGAGCTGGATTCCACAATGACGTATGTGTAGTTACATGCTTATGTAAGAAGGAGGTGTGCAGCATGGAGCCCGTCTGTCGCTGCACATGTATGTTGGTGCCGTGACATGGGTGGAGCGGAGCGACGCTCATTCATGGACGCAACCGTTTCTTGTCTGTTACACGTGTGTGTAATGTCTCCCATCTCCCAGCAGATGAAATGAGGTTTTCCTGCGATGCCACAGGCTTCACAATCACCGAACCGGCACCATACACCATAAAAACATGTGACATCATCCTCAGTTTAGTGTCGTTGTGTTTATTTACTGGTTCCAACTGAGTCTGAGGCAGATGCAGCTGCACTGAAAAGCACAACATAAAAACAAATAGTACAAAGAATAATCATGCAAATATGCAGCACGGAGGATTTCCAGAAACACAACCTCACAACCACATGGTCCTGCAGGGCTGACGGCCAGCAAACGTGCTGCTGAAGTTCACTTAGCATCAGCAGGCGTGTGGAGCAGGGAACGGTTCTGACTAAAGTCAAAGTCAGATTTTAATATCGTGTAACTGAGAGATGCGCTCACAGGTTGAGTAGCTTTTAGCGGAAAATAAATTCTTACTTGAATGCACCAAAAGATTTTTCAACAGAAACGGATATTTAAATAAGTTTCTGATCATAAAGAAACAAAGGGCTCCCCTCCAGCTTC